CAGTTACTCGGGAGGCTGAGGCAGGAGAATCGCTTGAACTCAGGAGGTGGAGGTTGCAGTGAGATGATATTGCACCATTGCACTCCAGCCTGGGTGACAGAACGAGACTCCATCTCAAAAAAAGAAAATCCCCAAATTACTAATGCTAATAAATCAGTTCAGCAAACAGCAGGATATATAATCCATATGTAAAAATCAGTTGTATTTCTATACATTATGAATGACTAATCTAAAAATGAAATTATAAAACAATTCCATTGATAATAGCATAAAAAGAATAAAATATGTAGGGATAAATTTAATAAAAAAAGTACAAGACTTATATACTGAAAACTATAAAACATTATTGAAACACATTAAGCGATATTAGAAATATATCTCACGTTCATGGTTTGGAAGACTTACTATTATTTTTAAGATCGTAAATTTCCCAACTGAATCTGTAAATTTGATGTAATCCTTAACAAAGTTCCAATTCCTTTTCTTTTTCAGAAGTGCACTGATTCCAAAATTCATATGGAATTACAAAGGATATGGAATAGCCAAATCAATCTTGAAAAAGAACAACAAAGTTGGAGGACTCAAACTTCCTGATTTCAAACTTATGTTTTTTAATCTTAGAAACTTACAGTAATGAAGACCACATGGTAGTAACATAAACACATATATATGTAGATAGACAAATGGAATTTATCTGGGAATTCTGAAATAAATCCATACATTTATGATCACTTGATTTTTAACAAAGGTGCCAAGGCCGTTCAATAAAGGAAAGAACAGTAGTTTTAGCAAATGGTAGGGAATAGATTCATTTTTTTTTTCACATGTGGGTATCTGTTTCAGCAACCAGATATCTACATGCAAAATAATGAATCTAGGCCAGGTGCAGTGGCTCAGGCCTACAATCCCAACAGTTTGGGAGGCTGAGGCGGGTGGATCATCTGAGGTCAAAAGTTCGAGACTAGCCTGACCAACACAGTGAAAACCTGACTCTACTAAAACACAATAATTAGCCAGGCATGGTGGCATGTGCCTGTAATCCTAGCTACTCAGGGACTGAGGCAGGAGAACTGCTTGAACCTGGTAGGTGGAGATGGCAGTGAGCTGAGTTCATGCCACTGCGTTCCAGCCTGGGCGACAGAGTGAGGCTCTGTCTCCAAAAAAAAAAAAAAAAAAAAAAAATGAATTTAGTCCCTACCCTTGTACAATGTACAAAAATAAATTAATTCAAAATGGAATACCTAAATGAAAAAGGTAATACCATAAAACTCTTAGGAAGAAACATAGATAAAAATCTGTTTCCATGGATTAAACACAGTGTCTTGGACATGACATTAAAAGGACAATAAAAGAAAAAAATAGGTAAATTGAATCTTGAAAATGTTATGCTAAATGTAAGAAGCCAGACATAAACTTATGTTTCCATTTATATGAAATGTTCAGAATAAGAAAATCTATAGAGACAGAAAATAGATTAGTGGTTTCCAGGGGATGGGGAGAGGAGGAAATTGAGACTAACTGCTAACAGGTATGAGGCTACTTTTTAGGGTGAGAGAAATGTTCTAGAATTGGCCAGATGACATTAGGCCATGGGAATAATCTGACTTAGATGTATCTTAGTGCCAGGCATGGTGTCTCACACTTGTAATCCCAGCCCTTTAGGAGGCCAAGATGGGCAAATTGCTTGAGCTCAGGAGTTTGAGACCAACCTAGACGATGTAGTGAAACTCAAAAAAAATTACAAAAAATTAACTGAGGATAGAGGTCCATGCCTGTAGTACCAGCTGCCCAGAAGGCTGAGGTGAAAGGATTGCTTGAGCCCAGAAGGTTGAGGCTGCAGTGAGCTGTGATCACACCACTGTACTCCAGCCTGGGCAAGGGAATGAGACCCTGTCTCAAAGAAAAAAATAAAGGTGTCTTATCAATAGAAATGGAGTACTCTAGGCTGGGTATCTATATATAAATCAGTAAACCTCCCCAACAAAACCTGCACCACTACTGTTCAGCTGGCCTTTGTAAGAAGTATGCTCTTCTCTTCCCAACTATAGAATCTTCTATTCCCTCTCTGAAGTGGCCTAAAAAAGACTGGGTCAAGCTGGGTCAGTATATGACCAGGTAACCAGTTGTCCATATAAATTCATCTGGACTGCCATTGGCAACAGTTTGTAATGTATTATTATTCATCTTTATTCCTGAAAATCCATCTAGAAACAATGCTTGGAGAGCAACAATTCAAGCAGCCCAAATATTGTAGATGATAATAAAATGGAACCTTGTCACCTCCTTTCAACACTGAACAATTTGTAAGGCTCAGCAAATCGTGGTACTGGCAGTATACATTCCATATGTTATAGGAAGAACCCAGGGTATGGTCCATATCTCTCTGCTTCCCCCATTAGAAGAGGTATATTAGTCTGTTTTCATGCTGCTGGTAAAGACACACCCAAGACTGGGAAGAAAAAGAGGTTTAATTGGACTTATAGTTCCACATGGCTGGGGAGGCCTCAGAATTATGGTGGGAGGCAAAAGGCACCTCTTACATGGCAGCAGCAAGAGAAAATGAGCAAGACGCAAAAGTGGAAATCCCTGATAAAACCATCAGGCCTCGTGAGCCTTATTCACTACCACGAGAATGGTATAGGGTAACTGCCCCCAGGATCCAAATTATCTCCCACTGGCTGTACCTTCCACAACACATGGGAATTATGGGAGTACAATTTAAGATGAGATTTGGGTGAGGACACAGCCAAACCATATCAAGAGGCATAAGAAAATGGCATTTGAGCCTTGTCCAAACATCATGGAGCATTAATCTCCATGAAGATCTGTAGCTGTATTAGGAATACTGGAAGTTAGGAGTTCCAAATATCTCTGGATATGGCCACTGCTTAGGATGAAGAGGTTTCACCTCAACCAACTGGCATATAAGGATCATCTCCTTCCCTTAGACACCAGAGTCTTCCTGCTTCAGCAACATATTGGTAAGGTAAAATGACCACAAAGTTACTACTAGTTCCACTATAGCTTCATAACAATTAAGTTACTCCTAAAATTGTAGGTATATATATATATATATATATTTTTTTTTTTTTTTTTTTTTGAGACGGAGTTTCGCTCTTGTTACCCAGACTGGAGTGCAATGGCGTGATCTCGGCTCACCGCAACCTCCGCCTCCTGGGTTCGGGCAATTCTCCTGCCTCAGCCTCCTGAGTAGCTGGGATTACAGGCACGCGCCACCATGCCCAGCTAATTTTTTGTAGTTTTAGTAGAGATGGGGTTTCACCATGTTGACCAGGATGGTCTCGATCTCTTGACCTCGTGATCCACCCGCCTCGGCCTCCCAAAATGCTGGGATTACAGGCTTGAGCCACCGCGCCCGGCGAGTAGGTATATATTTTTAAAGGCCAGTTTCCTTTTACATGGGCGAAGGCAGCCTCAATGGGACCATGGACCATGTGGGTAGATAACTGGGAGCCAGGTTGCTTCAGGGCTAAATTGTTACTACAGTAGATGAAGTGTGTTTGTAGCTAAGGAGAGAAGCCCAGACTTAACACCAGAACAGAACAAAAGCTGTTAGCTCTAAGATGTAAATATAGAGCTACAAACAAATGATAAGGCAAGAGGACAATGCTGAAAATCCAGAAATTGGTCAGAAAATAGAAAGGCCCAGGGTAGGAACCTCCTTCAGGCAAGTGTGACCATGTAGTACCAAGCTAAATCAATTGGTACTACTAAATCAGTTCGTACAAGCTTAAATCAATTTAATTTCTGTTTAAAGGTACAGAACTGGGCCAAACATAACAATGCATTTTTCTAATACAGGACATTAGCTGTGGCACTGGCTACCTTGACACGTCTTCATCTGAAGGAAAAATACATAGCAAGCCTGACATGATGACAATTTACTTCATGAAGAGAATGGATTCTGAAATGGTCATTCTTTTCCATTTAAACAATGCTACCATCCCCCAAAGAACAGCTTTGGGGCAGGAAAGAACAGTATTTCATTTCAAGCTGGACTACTCATCTACCAAAATACCATTCTGACCAAAGAAACAGATGCAGAATTACAGTCACAGCTGCATTCTGCACAGAACAAGTTGGATAATGGTATTCTAAATTGCTAATTATACTGTTAATGATTTTTTTAGTGTCATTGCAGTACTTTGCCACCTTTGTTTAAAAATTTTTAAAAAGCATGTAGGAAGTTTTCTAAATGGTAAATTTCTGTTTTGTTAAATACCAGTGAGTCTTCCAAATAAAAATTCCATATAAACCCCATTTATTGAATTGGTATTTATATGTGAATTTGGAGGAGCCTATTTATTGACTAGCTATTTGTTTTAATTTACTTTCTCACCAACTTACCTGTATTTAAGATTACTGAGGTCATAAGTCTCTCAGTATTTGTGTTTGTATCTAGATCCATAGATGGTATGAAAAGATAATAAACTAACATATGTCATGATATGCTGGCACTGGGAATGTGCTACAACTCAATTTACAAAAAGTAATGGCAACAGTACAATTTAATTTTCATTGTGATAACCATGGTGCAATGTATTACAATGTTACTATTATGCTGTTTAATCCATGCCAGCGTACCTGGGGAAATACATTTTTGACATAAAAATGCTGGTAATGTTTTCATTTCATTTTAGGAGATTATAGTATACAGATTAAAAGTACTGTCATTGTCCCATATTGTTTCTTGTACATTTAAGTGGCAGACTATTTTTTTCCACAAATAGTGAATTAATTTCTACTAAATTATTTCATTAAGGATTTTAAGTAATTAATTTGTTTCTTAACTGAATACCTCAAGCTGACCAGAAACTTCCACATATTAGATTTACAAAAACTAAAATATCTTATGTGCAGAAAATGTTGTACCAATCACAATTATATCACATTGTGTCTTGATAATTTTAATATTTAACAAGGTAAATCAGTAGTTAACACAATCTTATGCAATGAGAAACTCTTAAGCAAATACTTACATTTTCTTCTAACAGGCTATCCAATTTCAGTGATCTTTTAACACTATAAACAAAAATTTAAAGAAATTTTAGATTTGACATGCTTTATTTAAAGTAGCTCAATAAATTATATTTATTGAGTATATAAATTATATTTATAAAGTAGCTCAATAAATATGTATACACAAAGATTATATATAATATTGATACTAATTAATATAATTAACATTATATAATCTTTGTGTATATATCTTAATATATTAATACACTATATTAATATAACATATTGTATAGTTATTAATGTAATATATATTATATATAATCTTTATTATTACATACTCATCTTTATTGGTTAGTTCTGCTAACCAATTTTATATTATTTGTTAAAGCAGAATACCATATGAAGAAAGCAATTATTTATAATGACAGGTTTGATTCTAATTGCATATCTCTAAATGAGATCATAATTAAATATTTAAATGAGTTACTTTAAAAAATGTATGCAGTTATAGATACATGGACTACCATACAATTTAAACATCAGTCATATTATAAAAAGTCTTATAAAAGTTATATATTTTTCTGCTTTAAAATACCACTATTACAATATCATACATATGAGCAAAATAATTTATACACTTTCAGCGGAGTTGCTGAAAGTATAGTACAGAAACAGTCCACTAGGGTTAAAGGTATGAGCAAAGTGAAAAAAAGTTTTGCACATTAATCTAGCTTTAAACATGATTCAGTGCAACCAGACTATGACTTAACTGAGGAACAGATGCTCTATGTCTTTATAAGTCCCCAATCCATAAGAAACTATTTTTTGTTTCCTTCACTAAACTGATTCAGGAACATGCCAGGCTCTCTGTGTGCAAAATCTGTTCTGCTAAACTGGATGCCCAGCTGTTGGTGACAATGCTTAGAAAGGAAAGCTGAATATTTATAATACTTTATTTTATACAGCTGTCTTCTAAAGAGCAGTCATCAACATTTTATTGAATGCAGACTAAATGCTCAAAGGAGAAAAAGGTCAATATAAATTAAAACTAGTTTTCTCAGTGACAAATACAGTGTTAAAAGTATTTTCTTGATTCCTGAGAAATAGAATTAAAATATTAAAGAATTAGAACATAAAGCAAAATGATTGTACTATAAAGGCTGTATTACAGAAATCCCCCCAAAAGTTTGTATTGATATTAGAAAATGACTATTCATAAATAACTACTGATTTACAAAGAAAGGAATAAGAAAAAATAGAAGAGATGGTCAATCTAAGAAAATTACTGAACAATAAATATTAAATACAAAAATTTAATCTATTCTAAAAGCAGATTATTTTGCTATTATATCCACATTAGCCTATCACGACACTATTTCTTGAGATTAAACTAGTTTAAAGAATTATTTATACTTTTAGAAATCCACTTAATATCAATTTAATCTGATTTCCCAATGAGGCAAGAGAACAGAGGTACAAACAAATTAAAATGCAGACAATTTTTAAAAATTCATACTTAGCTTTGGAATATATATTGCCCTATTTGGGTATGTAAGATGTTCTGGCATTTGTAATACTTCAAAAATAGAAATTAGGCTGGGCGTAGTGGCTCATGCTTGTAATCCCAGAACTTTGGAAGGCCAAGGCAGGTGGATCACCTGAGGTCAGGAGTTTGAGACCAGCATGACTAACATGGTAAAACTCCATCTCTACTAAAAATACAAAATATTAGCCAGGGGTGTAATCCCAGCTACTCTGGAGGCTGAGGCAGGAGAATCGCTTGAACTCAGGAGGTGGAGGTTGCAGTGAACCAAAATCGTGCCATTGTACTCCAGACTGGGCAACAAAAGGGAAACTCCGTCTCATTTAAAAAATTTAAAAAAGAAAACAGAAATTAAAAAAAACTAAAGTCAAGTAATACAGTATTTCTTATCCTTTGTTCCTAAATGCTATTAAAATGCAATACTATCTTTTAGAAGGAAACAAATTCCATCCTGCTATTAACTGTTCAAAATATTGCTTTATTATCAATGGCTAATTCTTAGAGAAAGTAAATAAATGTTTGCTTTTAAGAAGTTTACAGATTAGGCCCCAGGTTCATCTAAGAAACCCAAGGAAATACATAAAAAAGGATAAATAAGAAAGTAAGCTGAGTTAAAATAGACTGTCATCTTCCACTTTATGCTTGGTGAGAATCTAAAAATATTATTTACTGAGGGTAATGTAGTATTCAGGTAATTCACACATCTAATAAACAAAAGTTATAATACTTAAAATAATCCTTAAAAGATCTAATAGACAAGACTAGAAGAAATCTGAGAAATCACTTAGTTCAGCCAATAGGGAAAATAGTTTGTGCAACTTGCCTACCATCACACATCATGAGGGATAGAAACTGAGATCTCAAGTCCTGGGCATAATAAATCTTTATTGAACTGAGGGGAAGGGAATTAAAGAAGGGGACAGAAGAGCAAACCCACTACAGAGTTTATGACCATCTATTCTTAACATTCTATTAGAACTGGGCCAACCACTCTTTCACAACACAATCATGAGAATACAATAAATTGATTAGGAAACTGTTAGTAGGAATAGAGGAGACAGATGAAACACATGAAGGAAGAATAGGTAAAATCTCATTAGATATATGAGTATTTTCCTAAAATATTTACTCTTTTGCTACCAGTATTAGCTAACCGAAGTGACATCTTTTTGGTAGTTCTGTAAAGTTATAAGCAGCTCCTGTGGCTGCTATCTTGGTTTTAAAAAGTGAGCACACAAAATTGGACAAAGGACTTGAATATACATTTCTCCAAAGAGATACACTAATGACCAATAAGGACATGAAAAGATGCTCAACATCTCTAATCATTAGCAAAATGCAAATCAGAACCACAATGAGATATTTCTTCACACCTATTAGGATGGCTACTATTTAAAAAAAAAAAAAAACAGAAAATAACAAGTGTTGGTGAGGATATAGAGAAACTAGAATCCCTGTGCACTGCTGATGAAAATGTAAAATGGTTCAGTACCTATGGAAAATAGTATGGCAGTTCCTCAAAGAATTAAAAATAGAATTACCATATGATTCCGCAATTCCACTTCCAAAAATAATTGAAAGCTGGGACACAAACAGGTATTTGTACACCAATGTTCATAGCAGCATTGCTCACAATAGCCAAAAGGTAGAAAAGCAATGCAGATATTCACTGACAGATGAACAGATAAACAAAATGTGATATATACATAAAACGAAATATTATTCAACTTTAAAAAAGAAATTTGACACATGCTACAACATGGATGAACTTTGAAGATATTACGCAAAGTAAAATAAGCCAGTCACAAAAGGACAAATATTATATGATTCCACTCATAGGAGAGTAGTCAAGTTCATACAGACAAAAATAGAACGGTGGTTGCCAGCGGCTAGAGGGAGTTAGGAATGGGAAATTACTGTTTAATGAGTAGAGAGTTTCAGTTTTACAAGATGAAAAAAATTCTAGAGATGAATGGTGGTGATGGTTGTACAACAAGGTAAACATTCTTAATGTCACTTAACTGAACACTTAAAAATGATTAAAATAATAAATGTTGTTATCTATAACTTAGCACAATTTAAAAATAGATAATTTTTAAAAAGGATATCTACCCGAATGTGTCCTAATTACCTCCCTCTTATAGGTAACACCTTATAATCTCTGTAGGTGACTTCTAACTTCCAACTTACCCAAATTTACACCTATGCCCATAATTTAAGTTATATTCTATTTCTAGGTGTACTAGGTTTAGATTCACTGGGAACAAAATTCTGGCTGCTACCAGAATTGCTGCTGTTGAGAATTTTAGAAAAAGATATAAAACATTTGACATGCAATTTTATATACAGAGAGCGTAACTGTGTTTGTATAATTACATTATTCTCTAAGACTGTCCTCCTCTTTTCTATTTAGCTTAACACATGGTAGTATCCTGAATAGAATTCTCTGGTTCATCAGAACAGAACAAGTAGATGAGTTTCATTACATAATATTATTAACTAACACCAGTTACACGATTAAAGACATTATTCCAGGGGGGAAAAAAAAAAACCCTATCATTTGATTCCTAATCAAAAACCGGGAATGACATAGCAGAAGGTCACAAAATTATATAATTTGAGGTTCTCTTATAGAACTTTTAAGACATTAGTTTAAATATGATTTTGAATAACAGAACTGAGGGGAGGGATGGGGGGTGAAGAACAAACTTAGTAAAGCAGTTAAGAGTCAGGGAGCCTTCATGCTATGCCAAATTCTTCCCCAAGGTTGGGCAAATCACATAATCTCCCTAAGCTTCATAAAGTTGATAATAACACTGGCCTGTAAAGTAGTAAGAAATTTCTGAGTGGAAGATAAAAATATCACTTAGTATTTCAGTGGTTCCATTTATTCCTCTCTATATTAAAGATGATAATATTGCCAGCTACAACTTCACAAGAGTGTTTAGAGGATTACTGAGTATGCTTACGAGATTCTTAGAAATCCTTTGATGAAAGGCAATGGCCAAATTCACATCCCATGTGACTCCTTAAATGTAAACTGAGATATGTGAAATGATTTATTTTCCATTCTATGCATGGGAATAAGCAAAGAAGGCAGAAGAATCTATTATCCTTTCTGCATTCTGCTTTTCATTCAAGCTTATGCTTGTGTTCAAATTAATAACAATATTAATCACTAATACTGTTACTAATCACTCATTTAGATGCTTTCATATTGACCATACTGTTGTTAAATACTGTCACATACATACATATAAAGGAAGGACATCAGTATGTCCTTTGAAAGAGTCTCTATTGAAAAGACTCAAAAACAGGTCTATGAGAATTAAAAATGGCAGATGGTGATGGACTTTTTTCTGTATGAATTTTATTTCACAAAGAAAACATAATAACAAAAAACTAACACTGATATCTGCCATACCTTTGAGACTCCAACAGAATCATCTCTAAGAAGTTTCTCCTGACACTGTCCAGTTTACACTAGGGAAGCTTCAACTCTACTTAACAACACTTGTGC